TGAAAGATAGATCACTTATAATAAACCATTTTTATTGACTTGAAAGACAATCACTTGATAAAACCTATTACTTGTATTGTCACCTTTGAAATTCTAAATAATATACAAAACTTAGTGAAGTTATTGAACGTCATTCTAGCTCATCACAACAAGAACACACATTATCTACCTTTAGTGATAAATCTTAGTCTCTCCTATTATAAAAACTTAATCTTTTTCACTCTTATCTTAATAAAACATGTAATTAATATATCAAGAACTTAATATCAATAAAAATGGTAACAATATATAACTTTCTTACCTAATTTAATCTCATATATTATTTATATATTTTTTCATAATAAAGCTTAAAATTATATAAAACAGTAATAATATATAAAGAGTAATTATTTCAAAATAATATTAAAAAAAATTAAATAAAATATTTAAATAAATTATAGCATTTTAATATATTTAAAAAATAATATTTGAATATTAAATTAATAAAATATAATCAAATTTCTCTATAAGTTATTACTCTTAAAAAAGCAAAATTTGATTATTATAAAGAGAATGTGATTATAAAGAAGTTTTTTTATTATATTTATATGTAAATGAAAAAGTAAAATAGGATAAGTATAAAGAGATGTAACTATAAATAAATATGACTATAGAGAAATTTAACTATAATAAATAAATTATTTTTAGTTTTTTATTTTAAAAATATTTGAGTTTATAATTAACTTGAAAATATATATTTTATATAAAATTATTTATATCATTCTAAAAAAAATATTTAAAAATATAAAATAAATATTTTTATTTTTGTATCAAAATAAAAATAATTTATATATAATTTTATTAATAAAATATAATAAAAATTGAGACTTATCTTTATATTAAAATAAAGATTATAATTTATATTTTAATATATATTTTTTCTAAATTTTTTAAAATTAATCTAATAAAATTATTCTAATTACAAAGTTATTAAAAAAAATTTTATAATTAATTTTATATTTTAATTATAAAATAACTTTATCAAATAAAATCTAAAAAATCCAGAAAAAATATATAGTAACTAATAGAATTATAAAATTATATATATAATTTTATTAATAAAATATAGTAAAAATTAAAATTTTTATCTTATATAAAATTTTTAATTTTATTAATAATATTTTTTATTTTTATATTAAAACAAAGATCATAAGTTATATAAATATGAGCTAATAAAAAACTTATATATTAATTAAAACTAATATTTAAAAATAAATTAATATATATATTTATTTATTTAAAATTATAGTTTTTGTTATTATATTTAATAAAATATAATAATTTTAAAAATTTAATTAAACTAATTCCATAATTTATAAGTTACTATATATAATAAATTTATCAAATTAAAAAAAGTCATTTTAAGAGTATTTATGAATATTAACTCTTTATTTATAATAATAATACTAAATTTTGATATTTTGTTAAACAAATAAATAATAAGTCAAAATCTATTGATAATTTATTTTTTTTATCTTTCATAAAAATAAAATAAAAATAAAAAATAATATTAAAACTGATAATACCAACAATATTTAGCAAAGATATTTTGAATTTGTTGATCTTATAAATATAATTCATAAAAAGAATATTGACAAGTAAGAATAACAGATTTATTATATATAAAGAAAAGATAAGTAATATATTTCATATTATTATATTTATATTCATAAAAAAATTATTTTTTTAAGCTTATCTATAAGAGCTTGAATAAAAATATAATTAGTCAGATTTTGTTAACAAAGTTATTTATGAGTATTATAAATATTTTTATTAATAATCAATATTAATATATTAATTTGATAAAGAATTAATACAATTTTTTGAGAATATGAATTATCAATAGTCATTATTATAATACTTGTTATTTATTATTTTGTAAGTTAATGAATAATTATATATTATAATATATTTTCTGAATTATTATAGTTATGATTAGAGTTACAAATTTTCAAATATCATAAATTATTATAACTAATAAAATATAATTTAATTTAAAAAGATGATTAATTAGTTTGGTATTTTTTTGTCTATAATAAGTTTTTTTTGGTGAGATTCAAGAAATTTTTATAAATATTATTTCAGTCATAATGCAAAATCATATTTTTTAATTTAGTACAATAATCTTTACAATTTCTTTTCTTTATTAATATATAATCTTGAGAATTAGCAAATTTTGAACACTTTTAAAAAGTTTATTAGCACTATTATATATTGCTAAAGATAATGAATATATATTAATAAAATATGAATTATGCTAATAACTATAACTTTGTCTTTTATATTCTTGTTAATTAGTTATTAAATATTTGTAATCATTTTGAAATACTTTTATAATTATTATATATGTGATTTTGCTATAAAAATAAATAATTAATTATAAGTAAATTAGTTTGGTAAAATAATATTGATATAATAATATATATTATAATAAGAATAATTATTTTTAATCAAATTATTTTGATTTCTTCTTTATTTTATTTTTTTATAACTTTATATTTATTTCTTGTATATATTATTTAATTCTTTTTTTATTTATTGTTTTAAATCAATAATTTTACATTATTTCTTATTATATATTAATAACAAATTAATTTTAAATATTATTTAAGACTTTAATTATTGCTTTAAACTAATTATTTATTATTTTAATAATTTTCTCTAAAACTATATCACTGATTACGTGAACACATAATTGATATTGATAATATTACAAGAAAGAAAATACAAATAACAAATTTGAAGATATAAATATTAATTACCAATAAAAATACTTTAATTAATACAAAGTAAACTTAAATATTATAATTTGCACTTATAATTAAAGTTGAAGTTCATTTTTAAACTACAAATATTATATATCAATTTTTAATCAAACTTGAATTTATATAACTATTCAAATTTGAGTTTGATTCAAATTTCAAATCTTTCTTGAACTCAAGTCAAAGTTTGATTCAAGTTTAGTTCAAATTTCAAAGCAAATTCAAATCCAAACAAAAATTCAGTTTAGTTTATAGAAATACTAATTTAAGATTAGCATATAGTATTATATACTAATTTATAACTCTAAATTTAAACTATACCTTTATTTATAGATATAATTTATAATATTTATTATAAATTAACTAAAGTATTTTAATTATATTTATTAATAATTTGTAATTCTTATTCAAGCTATAACTTTACTTAAAATTATAATTTAGAATTTATATTAAAAAATAGATGCTTACTATAATATAAAAAAGCAAATCAAAAATCATAATATTTTTAAGTTTATATAATTCTTTAAATATTTATTAATATCAATTATCTTATATTAATTTGTAGCTCTAATTATAATTTATAACTTGGCTTAGAATTTCTTCAAATATTTACTTGAATTCAAATCAGATTTTTGATTTGATTTAATTTTGATTCAAAATTTAAATCAAATTCAAGTTTAGTTCAAGCTCAAACTGAACTGGACTCAAACTAAACCAGACTTTTTTCAGAACTCTAACTATTAAACAAAATAAAAAAGTAATTATTTAAAATTTTGAAATTCTTAATATTTTTAAAAATAATTTGACAACAAATTATTATTTTGTGAAATAATAAGATTCAAATCAAAATTTATAATTAATAAATTTCTTATATTGAACAACTTTTTTCTAAGACAGAGATCCTAATTTGAACCACTAATTAAAAATGTTCTGTTCTATGAAGTTTATCTATTCACAAAAAATTTACTGAGATCTTGAAGAACCAAATTTATGCCAGCATTAATTCGGATGATCTATATAAAAATTGGTAAATATAGATTTCATAGAGCAGAACATTTTTAATTAGTAGAAAAAAAGTTGTTCAATGTGAGGAATTTTACTAATTGTAAATTTTGATTTAAATCACACTATTTCACAAAATAATAATCTGCTGTTTCAAAGTTTCAAATGAACACTTATTTTGTTCGAACTAATTAATAGTCATGGAAATAAAAATTCTAGAAAGTTAATTTTCGTGTTCCGTTACATGTACAGTCCACGGCGAAAGTAATGGCGGCCAGTATTTCATTTAATTGTATAATAAAATTAAAAAATTTTTTGAAAGTGCCTCTGAGTAGGGCATTATGCCCCTAAAATACCAGTACTTGGTGTGCTCTTTCCGCAATGCAAGTTCGAATATAATTAAATGCTTGTAACTTGAACTAAAATTCGCAATAATTCGATAAATATTATTCTGATTAAAATGAAATTACTACCAAAATGTTCGTCTTATTGAGACGAATATAATAACGATAAGATCAAACTTACAAAAATCTGATTATCGAGAAAATAAGTTTTAAAAATTTTAAACCTATATCGATATTAGATTTTCGCAAATTCATCTTGCTAGAAATCTAACACTATTATTTATATCGATATATTTTGCCTCTATAAAAAATGTTAGTATTGTAGTAAAATAACAATATCACCGCCATTACTTTTGCCGGTGACTGCGCGATCTTGAGCATATTTTGATAGAACCCTAAACTGTTTTTTAAAATTATTTTCAATAGTATTTAATAATATTATTTATTTTCTAGTGTCAAGAATAGTCTCAATGTGATGCAATAAAGACTACGCTAATATTATTACCCGTTACCACCGCTTCCTCCTCTATCACCATCCCGCGTCGAAGCAGGCGTCCACTCTTCAGGTTCAAATGTGTCGCTGGGTGCAACGGGTGGTTGATAATCAAGCAAAGGGGGTGCGATAGTAGTAGTTGATGTTGTGTTCTGTGGAATAGCCTCTTTTTGTTTTTGTAACTGCCGTTTACGCTAAATAAACCAAAAGATTTTAAAAATTATTTCCTTTACTGTCACAAATTAGCTAAATTAAATGTCACCTCATTCCACTCCTGATCCAATCTTTTCGCTCGTTCGATAATTATTTCGCGTTTTTGATTTGCTATTTTGAGTTCCTACGAAGGTAAAAAAACACGTGATTACTAATTAAGATTCACTAAATCCTTGATTTACAAATTTTTACCTCGATCGTCGGTGGATCGAATCGTGTATGCCTCAACCAGCTTTGCCACTGCACTGATCCAAATAAATAAATATAAGCATAGCATTTATCTTTGTGGAATACAAAAAACCAAAATGCCGCTATTTTCATTGTCTAATATTATAATTATTCAATTACCAGGTATTTCATCTCCTGTATAATCACTAAATTTTATCTGTTGTTTCAGATTAACTATCCGCTTCGGTCGACCACTATTGCCTAAAATTCTACTAGTTTCATAGTATTCGTTTCCATCCAAATCTGAGCCAACATAGAATTTGGATCGCCATGGAAAACGTGCTTGTTTCCAGGCTGAAGCTAAACGTGATAATGTCATAGTTTGTGATTTTATTTTTTCAAAATGCAAGAAGTAAACATATAAAATTTGAGCTTGTATCACGTGGTGATTCAAGATGGTCGATCCTTTTATTTATATAGCCCGAACTACAATAATTCAATCGAGCCATCAATCAGATAAGAAGAAATCGTTTCATAGCGAAGTGCATAGATCCCATCTTTCTCCAGTTTGATAGTATCCTGAGAACTATTGCTTATTAATTCAAGAAATAAAACAGTCAAGGTCAAACGAAATTTAACAATAAACGCGCGTCAATATAAATCAAACACGCTTACTTATCGGATACGCTTAATTCGCCCAGATCCTCTTTCACTCGACAGAATATAATTCTCGATAAGTCTAGCGATACGACTATGTTGAAAATCAATGATCATTAAATTCGATATATTTCTATAATACAAAAGTTCTAGTTATTCCACGTCATGCCATGGAATATCAGCAAACATCATGTACAGCCGTGATGTTAAATATGATATCAAGTTAGGCTGTATGTGGAATAACTGTTTCATATCACGGAGACTAACCTCCGCGAAAATAGCAGTAAAAAATTTCACGGAGGAATACTTAGAAAACGTGGTTTAGAAAAAGAAATTGGATACAAACGTAAATCCGACTCCTTTTCTCGCAACTCTACTGGTATATTCTTCCAGACTAAATCATCAAAGTGTTTATTAATCATATTCATATAACTGTATGATGAATCAAAGTTAATAAGATTAACAAAAGAGAAAGAATACTATGAATAGCTAATAAAAAAAAATAAACACTCGAGCGCAAATATTTTTTCAGCGTCGGATAGTCGATCAACATATTCATTTCGTTTAAGAATAAGCGCGCATTGTGACTCAATCTAACCAATAAATAAAACAAGATTAAGTCGCATTCATTTTGTGAAAAACACGAAAGACAAACCTTTGTCAATCTTGTTCTTAGATAACATCTTAAATAATGATACGCGCGTTCTTTATCCATTAATTCCACGAGATCTTTTTCGGTTACACGCCTCATTCGAGTTTGACGAATTTGCGTTTCTCTGATATTCTAATTGTGATTTGATTTTACAATGAAAAAGTCAAATTATTTATTACAATTAATAATCTCTTTTCGACACAAAAGACACCGTTATCATTCAAATAACAGCGAAAAGAAACACTCACTAATTGTTTTAAAGAAGAAAGTAACTGTTCGACGTCGTTCTTCAGATAAGGCAACAAATCCGGGGCACAACGTTCATTAATATATCCTTGTTTAATATTGTCGTAATGAGAGGTGACCACATTCTCGATGTCCATTAAAAAAATCTCATTTTCTTCATTATCATTATCTAACAAGTTAATGATTTGTTCTGCATCGTCTTCCTTGTCAAGACCACTCAAAGAATTGTTATATTCTACAGTGGAATCAGCATTATGATATGTTGTAGTGCTGCTATCATTGTTATGATTTACATTAATATCATTAATGTTGTCGTTATTATCGGAAGCGGAGGTAGTTGAAGGAAATTCTTGAGTTGTCATTTTTTATAAAATTTAAAAACACGCGTCGACATAAGAAAATAATGGCCAATCATTGATATTTACCCGATCAGCTGACCAAAAAAATAAAAATATAGATGCACATTTATTTACGATTGTTCAAATGTTCAGAATGTTAAAAAATCCACTTCCTTTTCTTTCTGGACGTTACCACATTTTTTCAAATCACTCGAGTTGACTATCTTTGGTGGGACTTGATAAAAACATACAACCATATCGAATTCTAGCCGTAGTCAATCCACTTCGTTCAACAACAACAGCGAAAATGGCAGTTGCGCCGGAATTTGTTGACGCAGAAGAACTAGCGAAACTGATTAAAGACAAATCTAAAGTTCCTGGAAAGGACTACGTGGTGATTGATGTTAGGGAAGATGATTTCGAGGTAAGTAACAGCCAAAATTCAAGTTATACAAATGGAATGGATGATTGTTAATTATTGTGTACAGGGCGGCAATATTCCTGGATGTGTGAATGTTCCGTCCAGCGTGTTTGTGGATAATTTACACCAAATGATAAAGGGGTATAGTCAAGGTAGTAAATATATTAACGACAATATGATCATGATTCTTTATTTACTAATGTAATTGCAAACTCCAAAACATGAAACAAAGTCCCACAAATAATATTTCACTGTGCTCTCTCACAAGTACGAGGACCTAAGAGCGCAAGAATATACCAGGAAGCGCTAACACTAAACTCGATAAAAACCAATCAAAAAATTCTTATTTTGTCTGGTGGGTTTGTCGAGTGGCAGAAACGATATAAATCCGACGCGGAACTTGTAGAAAAGTACAACGAAAAGTTTTGGATGTATTTCGAGTTTTGAGGGGTGAATCTAGAGGTTGTACATGATATTTATTGAGATAGATGAGAAATATATAAAATAATTAATATCGATATCAATATCGATATAGATATAAAATAATTAATTTTCATTGTATTACGCGCGCGCACGCGCACGGATTTATTTCTTAAAATGGTCAATCATTTACATCTCCTTTGGATAAATAAAGATTCTGTTTTTCTTTTACACAATAAATTTAACAAACATGGCTGTTCACCTATGGCTTCGTGCAGAGACAAAACCAAAGGAACATCGCACGGCATTGACGCCTGGTGCTTGTAAAACTTTAATGGATAAAGGTATAACCCTATATACTTATATTCCTCTAATGAATTTCTTTAAACAATTTTTAAAAAAAAATGATATTTGATTTTTTGATAAATAAAAAGGGTTCAAAATTACAGTGGAAAAATCCACACAACGTATTTTCGATGATGTCGAATATGAAAAGTAAAGTATTATTGTTATGAAATATTCTCGTTTCAAGACGAATCTTTGATTCATTATATGATGTATTCTTATATGTATATAGAAATGGATGTAAGATTGTTCCCTCCGGAACATGGAAAACAGAAGCACCATCCGACGCGTACATTATTGGGCTTAAAGAACTTCCAGAAGACGACAATTCACCAGTAACTCACTCGCACATATATTTCGCGCACTGTTACAAAAATCAGGATGGTTGGCAAGATGTGTTGAGTCGATTTGTGCGTGGCAAAGGCGTTTTACTTGATTTGGAATTCTTGTCGGATGAGAAAGGTATTCAGAGAAAATATAACAGTTGATTTTATCGTTTTCCATTTACTTATTTTAACTTGTTTAATGATCAATCGCTAAAGGTCGTAGAGTAGCAGCGTTTGGATATCACGCGGGATTCGCAGGAACAGCAATTGGGCTCGATGTGTGGGCGCAACAAAATCTTGACCCTTCTATAGAGTTTCCTTCCATTGATCCGTATCCTAATGAGAATAAATTGATCGAGCATGTAAAAAGTCGTGTAGAAGCTGCGCGTAAAGGAGGTCAATATCCACGGATAATGATTATGGGTGCACTTGGAAGATGTGGAAAAGGTGCTGCCGATTTTGCATTAAAAGTTGGAATACCAGAGTAAGTTAATTAAAAATCTAATGAGATGTATAAGCCTCCCATTAACTAGTTTATTATAATTTTATCTTTATAGAAGTCACATAATCAGATGGGATATTGCAGAAACAAAAAAAGGAGGCCCATTCCATGAAATTCTAGACGCAGACATTTTCGTTAATTGTATCTACTTAAATCAACCCATTCCCCCCTTCATCACTAAAGATATGTTGGACGGTGACCGGAAATTATCAGTGATTGTTGATGTTAGTTGTGATACCACGAATCCCAACAATCCTATTCCCGTTTATACCATTAATACTACTTTTGATAAACCGACCGTTCCGGTGAAAACAAAGTATGGAAGAAAGGATTTATTTTCTTTGTCTTGATGTATTCTCGAATTTTTATTACATGAATTAAATTAATCATTTCGATTTCTCTAGAAATAAACGCCCTCTTGATTTGATTTCAATTGATCATTTGCCAACATTACTTCCACGTGAAAGTAGTGAAGCATTCTGTGGCAATCTGATACCGAGTCTATTGGAATTACCTAATCGTAAAACGGCTAAAGTATGGGCTGATGCAGAAAAATTGTTTGTCGAGAAATCGAGTGGTTTGAATTAAACAAAAATTAGTATCGTGGATCATGTAATTAATTGTTGTTAATTAGTTTATTAATTAATTTTGGAAAGTATGATTTTTTGCGCGTAATTTAATCTCGAAGCTAGCACTGATAATAAATTAATATTTGTGTTTTTTTCACTAAATCTTAAAAGTAACTTCGTTTATTTTCTCGTGTTCTCTTTGATATCCATCGTGCACCCAATTAAGAAATCTAAGCATTGCAATCATTTGATAATGGCATCTTGGCGCATGAGTGAGATGATATCCGTGAGGTCCACCCTGTAGATATAAAGAATAAGTCAATTAAAAGAACTACGATCTATCAAAGAGAGCGCAAAAAAAATTTCAATTACCGGATATTCAATGTAGACTGACTTCGTTTTAAATAATTTGATGAATTGCCGAGTGTGGATCACAGGTATGAGATTATCACGATCACCACTAAATTATTTTGAAATCGAGATTAGAAAAATAAATACTAACGATAAAAAATATACGCCCATCAATTTTAACACTTACTGAAATACCAAAAAAGGTACAACTTCAAGATTATTCTCCACTCGATGTTTCAGCAATAATTCGGGACTTCCATCCTCCAGAACTTTTCTACTCTTCATATCGGCAATTCCATTCTTTAGTCCACACACAACTTGTGCGATCCAATCTGGAATAATATCCCTTCCCGGAAAATAATCATGCATATTCGTTAAATCGTAGATACCATTAATCGATACGCATGCACGAACACTTGTCGAGACATTTGCAAATCCCGGTTGATATTTCGGGTCGTTGGGAGTAAGTGCAGTCATGGTTGCTAAATGACCACCAGCCGAATCCCCTGAAACATATATAAAATTTTTGTCCCCACCATAGTGTGAAATGTTTTCTTTTGTCCATCGTATTGCGCGTTTACAATCGATTAATTGATTCGGATAGTTGAATAGTCGGTAATTGATTGATACAACTATCCATCCGTGGGATGCCATGTATGATGGTTGGGGATATGGTATTCGTTTATCGCCCTGTATCCAACTTCCTTTTATTTATCGGATTGAAATGTTTTTTTAAGGGTAAGTAAAATGAACAAGAAGTAAATCTAAAATATTCTTGTGCTTACCCCCGTGAATAAATATCAAAACTGGTCTTTTATCGGTATTTTTTGTGGATTTCTCTTTGTAGATATCGAGTTTAAGAAATTTCGTTTGGTTACCCAATTCTTTTATTTCTTGAGGTGTCGCATATATTACTAAATGAACATATGTATTGTTATTTATTAGCTTGGAAATTGAAGTTTTGCTTTTTTTTTTACTTACTGTCACGGTCAACTGTCACATTTAAAGGAATATAAATCGGTACCATCATTCGGTACCAAAAATACGGCCTATTGAATTGACGTGATATGGCGTCAGAAGATTGGTATTTTTTTTATTGAAAATCTCGCAACTTACCTAAAAAAGCTTGCGAGTTTTGGTCCATGAGTCTCAAATTCACGTGTTTCTTTGTGCACGACTTCTCTTGCTTTATAAGCGAGATGGAACGCGTAAAAAAGTGCCAGAAATGTAACGAGGTCGATCCATAGGATTGGATTATTTGTGAACTGTAATTCTATATAGCACACGCGTTAGTTGTTAACGATTAGTCAATCAATTAATCGAATTCAAATAATTAATAACTCACCAAATGCATTTACCATCCACACCATGACCCAAAACTTTACAAAGGCAATGTACAATGGAAACTCCATTACCCCTGTCCCTACCACCAAAATTATTGATCTAACCCATTCATATCGGTGCGGTCGAGGATAGAACGCGATATAAACGAATCCAGCGACTAATAACACCGCTAGAACATATATTGTTAGGGTGATGTATTGTGTAATTGAATAGTTACTAGTTGTAAGGTTTAGTGAGATATAGGAGAGTTTGAATTTCTCAAAGGGAGGTATTGGGAATTGAAGGTCTAAATGTGATCCATTGACAATAAATGGTAATATGTCTGCTTGTGATCTTGATAGAATGAATGTCATTTTTGAGATTTTTCTATTATTATATTTAAAAAAAATGTCTATTGAAGATTTCTATGATTATATTAAAAAGTGTCTATTGAGAAGTTTTCTACGCGAAAAAATTAATATTATAAAACGACCCACCCGTATATATATATATTTTTATGTATAAATAATATTTTTAGAATCAGTTTTTTTTTAAATTCAATTTTTTTTAAAGTCAAATTTTTTTTAAATTCAAATTTTTTTTCAATAAATGGGTGGATGGTCTAAAGAAAAAAAAAATACTGCTCGCTCCCCTTTTTATACTTTTGGTTGCTAAAATGAAATATTCCCGGAGGTTCCGTTACGTTATACAAAATACATTAAATACATCCGATCTTCGATCTAGTACATAGTTTATTTTTAAAGAAGCGTCAATGTAAAAGAAACCCCTATTTTTATAAGAGTATCGTTATACTGTGGCTCGTTTTCGTTATACTGTGGTTCGTTTTCTCCTAGTTAATTCTCGAGGAAAACAATAATCAAATTTTAAATTTATAACATCGTTGATATTGTGATGATGAACACGAGTTTGTTGATAATGAACATTATCGTTATACTGTGGTTCGTTCTTTCAAAAATCAAAGTCTAAATTTAGAACTACATGTCCAAGAACACTGGGCACATCATCATAATACATATCAGTTAAATCAGTTACCAATTATTCTTATAGTTGTACCGCACTAAGTTCTTTATTAAAAGTTTATTTAATTACCTATATTTATTCTTTATATAGTTATTACTAAGTTTCTTTGCTGTTCGTTCGGCTATAACCATCATTAAGTGGGATTTCAGTGGTGTAAAACGCAACTGATTTGATTCACACGTGAGGTACGCTTCTTTTCCTAGTACGTGAAGAAATAACGATAACGATAACAATTTTCCGTAATTTTAATTAGCCCAAAATAGAAAAGTCCAATTTAATATTGTTGTGCTGTTTTTTATTTACATTGCCAACCTAAATTTATCGATAGAATACATGTTTTTTTTCAGGTCTGCATAAACACAAATAGCCACTTTGAAAGATATCATTATACTGTTTCAGGTAATTTAAATATCAATATCGTATTTAGGAAATGATATTATCATTCAGTGACTTGAATAATACTCAAAATAACTATTTATCATAGCCATCGTATGCAGTATAACGATAACTGTATAACTGTGCCATTGTATGAAATATGACAGTATAACAGTATAACAGTATTACAACATTAATCGACAAATCAAAAACTTGTTTTTAAGATATTCAGTGCATGAACCGAATTTAGAAACAATTATATATATATAGTAAACTTCCTCAATAAACAGAAGATGGTGAACCTGTTGAACCGAATTTAGAAACAATTATATATATATAGTAAAACGGAAGATGGTGAACCTGTCGAATTTACTATCGTTATATACAGTCAAAATGATGACTAAATCTCGATATAACGAAGACAAACCAAAAAACACTTCCGATTAGATTTTCTCGATATAATAAAATATAATAAATTCCCAAGAGAATGAAGTTCGCAGGATTTTTTACTAATTATCCAAACCACTTCGTTATATCGAGTTCCGACTGTAACTAAACCTTGATAAACTGAATTTTAAATTTTCTACCACTTCGGTTTAACGGGATTGACTGTGTATTTGTTTCCTAATTCAAACCGTCCCGAAGTCAATAAACTTGAAAGTTCATCGATCAATGTCTATCTTTGTTAATTCAATATAGCAGAGTAATCTTTCAAAGATGAGAGAACATTTTAGATACATAGTGAGTTTCGTTAAACTAGAACTGCGTTAAGCCAAATTTGTCCTAATGTGAAGGAATTTCCAATTATAAATTTCTGTATACAATAATTAATGTATTTCAATTACATTAGCCGTCATAAGTATCCGACCGCCCCAAATTTTTCATAGATCATATGTAATGTACCAAAATTTTTCACGTATAAAGAACTATATAAATATTGATAATTTATGCCTTTTATAGG